TTGTTCCAGAGGAAAGTACAAAACTCCTGGATTGCTGTGCTGCTTTGTGGATGAAAACCAAAAGTATTAGAAATAATATGAGAAAATCATCTAATTTCTCCCATTCTGAATAGTGGAACCTTTTACTGAAGTATCAGTTATGTGCAAAACGTGGCCTTACACTTCTCTGCACTTATAATTTCCTTATATTTATAATGGCTCCTGAGAGCCCCAGCAATTTTTATGTTGTGTGAACACATGCTACAACAGATGATTTCTACTCTAAAGAGCTTAGAAATCTGAGTGAAGGGAAGATATGTAGGAGGTATGATACATGGGCAAACTGGGGAAGAATAAAATAGATCTAGTCAAATGATGGAAAGGGCCAGAGCTCTTTTACAGCTGTGAACTAGCACACAGGTAAATCATGAAACAATGCAAGTGTTCATTCTGTGCAATACAGAGCAGAAGGGCAAAGAAAGATGCATGGCAGAACGTATCCAGAACAATCCAAAAGAATAGAGGGTTTTATGAAGCTCAGATCTTGAGAGCTTTCTACTTTGGAAACATTTTCCAGAACTGAAGTAAAGAAAAATGTAGAATTCTTTTTCCTCTTCCCTGGTACACACTTTCACTTCTAGAACTGATGTTGCAGTCTAGATCAGTTGAGTCAAATAAAATTCCAGTTATTCTGAATGAAGCATTTTGGAAAAACATAATTTTTTCTCCTTATATTTTTTGGAATTTACTTTTTTTTTTTTTTAATAATGCAAACTGTCAAACTAAAGTAAATAAACCAATCAGGTTTGCCTGATTTCTCTTAAATTTTTTACTTTCACTATGTATTTATACATACGGCTTCTTCCTCTTCATCAGATGCTTTGGTTTTTTAACTACAAATAATTCTAAAATATTTTATTTTTATTCTGCATTTTCGTTGGATTACAGGAAAGTTATCCTTAGTTTACAAGCAATGTTTTTGTTATTAAAAATATCTATATTTTAGAGAATGTTTTGACTGTCTCAAATTGAAAAGATTATCAATGAATATAGCCCAAAATGCAAAAAAAATATTTAAGTCTAAAATTAGTGCTGGAAATATCAGGAAATTAGAAGGGAAAGAAAAGATTACATGGCAACTATATCCTGCTGTTACCCAGATATCCCAAAGCATTTTAAGATGAAACTTATGCTATCACTATGAAATACATGAGCAGTTCTTATGCTTCTCACACAGGCTGGGAAACAAATAACGGAGAGGGTGAGTAGCATACAGATATTGTTTGGTGTAGATAAGGAAAGAAGTTCAGTTTTCAGATGTCAGCTTTCCTTGCTCCAGAAGATAGTAGTATCATGTTGTGAGAAGGCTCTTTCTATAGCTAGAGGATTGTCTTGCAGTTCAGAGGGTTTATTTGAATGCCTGCTCAACGTCAGAAGGTATTTGTAACCTTGGGACAGCTTTTCCTTTTCCCTTGCATTTCTGTTTTCCCGTATAAAAGAGGTAGGTGGTAAGTTTCTACTTCACAGAATATTAGGATTTGAAAAAAGCAAAACCAAGCAAAACCAGACTGTTAATGATTGTTAAGTACCCAGGTATTACACAGAAAAATGAATATACAAGAGAAGAAGGAAGAAGAAAATTAGTCCCTGATGAGCAAGGGTCAAATCTGAGAAATCAATACAAGATTTATACTTCATAACAGTTTTGTCTCAGTTAAAAAAATGTCAGATCACTACTTGGCCCTCAGATGAAAACATACATTGAAATTGTAATAGGTTCGTTTTCTATTTGTGGTTGAAAAAGAAGTGTAGCACAGAACATTATCTAACTTAAGTTTAATAATGAAAATTGTCATCAGACAGCAGTTCTTGCCAAGGAAAATAAAATGTCATCTCTGAAGAGACTGCAGGCACGAGTCTGTCCCAAGAAGTCCTAGGAGAGAGAGGGCTTTTATAACAACAACAAAATACGATGCTGGGTTTAAAAAAATATCCATATAGGCACTATAATTGCTAAATGGGGAAAAATAATCCCAGCTGTATCACAACTGATACTTGGCAAAAACCTAGCCTCCAAATATTTCCTTTTTTCTGGTGCAACTAAAAAAACTCAGTCTAAAATGAATGATACTTAGAATAAAATATCTGAAAAAATCCTCACTGCAAAGGATTTTTTTTTTTGAGGGGGATGATACATAAGGTGGGGGATTCCCGCTTTGCTAAAGATACATCAGTGCTGCTTGTGCTGTGGTGAGTCAGTAAAGGCTGAGGTTGGTGCTGAGATAATGCCAAAGAAGGAAAAACCTTCTAAAGCCTGGTTATTAAAGTGTCTCACCGAAGACAATGAGAGCTTTGGGTATGGGTTCCCAGGGAACTGACATTTCCCTTTGAGAGCTGTTACCTTTTCTCCCGTGCTACCTCCAGCTGACTGGGCACTGGCTTCTAATTTGAGAGGCCAATCCCAACAGTAGAATTGCTATATCCATTTCCTTCCTTTGAAACAAACTCGTAAAGTCTTGCATTTCTCCACTTTTTTCCTGAATCACGTCTTATTCAGGGCACACAATAAGAGAAAGCAGGGCTCCCTGGGTGCTGTGCAGCATCACAACTGCTGTTCTGCTGGGAGAGTTGTCGGATGCCCCTCTGAAGAGTTGGGCTGAAAGAGCCAGAGGGAAGGTGTGGCACTGGGGCTGTTCAACCACCTGGCACTGCAGTGGAACCGCCAGCATGGAGGAGGGTGCTACACAAGCACAGAGAAAGGTTTTGCAGGCTGTAATTAATTCTGGATACTGTTACCAGCAGGTTCAGAGAGGAGATAAACTGCTGAAAGTTGCGCTCAGGGAAACTAGAGAGGGAGTCGGGTGAGAGACACAAAAGAGGGAAATCAATATTTACTGTGATGATTTCAGCCATCTGAACATCAATTTGCTGGAAAGCTTACATCCTATATATCCCTTGTCTGGAAACACAGAGGTGTATACTGAGTTGTTTGGATTGGTCCTTGTTCTTAAAAGATGATCTGAACTTTATTAAAACTTAAATTACTGTATGTCAAAGACACATTACTTGGCATGGAAGAAACTACTATGCCATGAAGGGGAAAACATTGACATCGGAGAGGTAGATTGACAGTAGCTTTTTGTTATTATGTTTTTATTTTTGCTGCAATTACAAAAGCAGGTCTAGAAATGGATTTTGAATGTGAAGGGAGAAAAATACCTCCTGTAATGGTGAAGTTCTTGATTAGGTGACGTCAAAGTACTTTACAAAAGTAATTGTTTAATGTTCCAAAAGATTTTCTTTAATTTTCAAAAATGAAAGTTTTCCTTAGTTATAGTTAGAGTTTCCTAAAGTTTCAAATAAAAATGTATCTAGAATCTTCTACTTAAGGAAAAATAACAGACTCACCACTGAAGTTTTAAAAGTGGATGCATTTCTATCAACAAAGCTAAATTGTTTTTCCTTTTCTTACTTACCCTCGTTATCTTCTATACACTCTGCCTTCTCCCCTCTCTCTTCTTTGACAGTGTTCAAGAGAAAGGAAGGTGAGAAAAAGGTGAATTTTTAGCTTTCATATTTTAAAGTAGATTTCATCATACACCAGTCTACTGTTTACCAAAAAGCTGTTCTAATTAGTTTCTCCATGTCCTTCCAAGGTTTTACAGTAGGGAAGCTGAGGGATAGAAGGGGTTGAATTGGGAATGTAATGCAGAATAAGAAGTAGATCTCAAGGTTTCTTACATCACAGTCTCATAATTCTTAAAATACATTCAAATCATCTTTCTGATCACCCTAAAGCTTTAAAATTAACTTCTTTCCTTCTCAGTCATTCTCACAGGCATCCATCTTTCTCTTCCCTGCCAATCCACTGCCACTACCCGTTCTAAAAAAAAAATTGTCAAGGTTTGCACATAAAGATTCAGCATTTTATGCAAGATCCCTAAAGTAGTGTCATGAAAAGGCAGATCACATTTCAAAAAAGGGGTCCAACATCTTCCTTGCCAGAAAAGGGGACTGATCAGGTCTATCAAGCCAAGGGAAGGAGGGGAAACGAGATGAATCTGCAAGAAGAGTTATAGGGCTGACTGCCTCTCAGTGCTTCCATATGAGAAATTTGAAGTTAAATAAAGCAAAAGAAAGACAGAACCAAAGTGATCCTTCCCTCTACTGTCCTTCTGAGAATTACCTGATGGCAGCATTTACAGAGAGCAGCTGTTTGTATGTGCTCTGTAACAGTAACATTTGTATATCATTCCACAAAGACGTGTCAAAGTATTTATAATACCTGTAACATGCCTTTTTGCTGACCTTTCTCAGTCTGGTTTGGTATTTATCATGGAAAGATTTTCTGAAATGATTGATGTATTTGGATATTGTTTGTGTAACCAGACTAGGAAAAGGTGTCACGTTGTTTGCAGGAGAAGGACAGGAGCGAAGGGAGAATTGTAGGTTTCCACAGTAAAAGTAACTTGTGTTATTTAAACTCATTTGGTCCTGCAAGAGAAGTCTGGACATGTTAGAGCACTTTTTTCATGTGAGATTGAACAAACTCTCTGGGGATGGCTACTGGTAACTGGAAAGAGAATGACCTTCTAATATAATATTGAGGAAGGCAGTTGTGTATATCTGTTGTCAGAGCTAGGCTAGGGTATCAGACATTTGGTGTCCACCACAAGTTTAAAAAAGATAAAGGCAGCCTTCCCACACTGCGTAATTTTATTACTTGGGAGTGCCACGAAGAGCTGGATGATGAGTTTTCAGTCATGGCAGGTTGTTGAGTGTACCCATACAGTGATCCCTCAGGTAAGAGCAGTTGTGTCCCATGTCACTCAACTCAGTATTGCCCTTGCCAGTAAAAGGCACTGCAGACACTTTTCAGCTGTTCCTGATGTGTCCCTTTGAACCTGGAGGAAGGAAAAGTCCAAGTCACTATCTCGGAAGTGATACAGGCTTCATCAGATTAATTTCTCTATTATCTTTATGTTTTACTGTGATTGATGACTGCTTGTTTTTATTTCCAGTTATTCAGTTCAGTGGAGTTTGGCAGAAGATGGCTGCTTCTTCATGAGGGAGTTGCACCAAACAGATTCTACTGGTAAGAGCAAAAACCTCTTCTTCATTTCCTGGACACAACTTCCCCATATGTACAGAGATGTTGAAATGGGGGCTTGAAGGCAATGTAACTTAATGCAATCTGCACTGCTGATTTGTTGAGATTAATTTAGAACTGGTATGAAAGGGGCATTGTTCCTCCTGTTACCTGTTTATATAGCACTTGAAAATTGAGTCTTTGATCTAAGGATGATGCACAACTGAAAAATACTGAATAATAGTCTGAAGAAAGCATTGATTTGGGAGGGGAGAGTTCTGCGATTTCCTGTGAACATTTTGAGTTCAAATGCAACTCTGTTCAGCATAAGCTTGTTTGCTTTTGCACCAGCTACAAAGAAGAGATCCATCTGGTCCTGCTACCAGTGAGGGGCAAAGACTGAAGTCTTGGAGATTTTGAGGATACTAATGTTTCTGCCACGGGTAACAGTGAACATCCTCCAGTGACTGGTGTTATGCTTTTACCTGCTGTTAGACCTACATCAGTCCTTGAAACTGAGCAAGTTAATGACCATTGAAGTAGGCACACACAGTTGTTCATTATGAGCTTACATCACTCTGCAATATTGCTTCTAAGGAGCAGTGCAAGATTTCCAGTCAGATTTCAAGCTGTATGAATCAGCCATGTGTAAGTTCCTCTTGCTGAATCTTTGAATATCAGTCAGTTACAACAATGGCAAAACATTTGCAAGTTTGATGCCAAAGTTGCCGTAAAGAAGTTTGTCACTGATAAGCTTAACTCTCTGCTGCATTAACTTATGTTATACAATTTGTATCTAAATTCGGTTAGGGCCATTGCCTGCGTGGTTATGATAGAATCTGAGCATCTCACAGTTTTTAATATGTGGTGTATCTCTAATGGATGATTTGACTTCAGATTCATACACTTGCAGTGATAACAACCACTGAAAAATAACCCATGGATGTAGGTCCAAAATTTATTCTGCAGTTCTTCACTACTAGCAAATTTATGTGTATTTTGAATCTCATCTCCTTCAGTTTTAGTCATCGCAGATTTACCCAGTGATTCTGGTGTGCCAATTCTCTTCTCATGATTCTGATTGCAGGCAGGCCTCTTTGCATTTGCTTTCCGTAGCAATGATTTACATACCCGGTGTAAAGCTCTGTAAAGACACTTGCAGTAAAATACTTATCTGAAACACCTCCATGATGTCACACAATAGCAAGTATTGTAACTTTGATATACGTGGAAAATAAAGCTGAGGAATGCAGGAGACACTGGACTGTTTTCCTGCAAATATGGTTGTCATAGTCTAAATCAAAGATAAGTTTAATTTTTTGTATTTTGGGTTACTCCTTACACTGGTGTAAATCTGTGAGACTTCTCATTGGTTCTTTATGGAGGCAGTAGTCCACCTGTGAGCAGAAGTTGGCTCATGTCCTGTGAATCTGGCCTTTTTAAAGAGAAGCTTTTGATAAAATAGTCATCTTGAAATCAGGAGGAGCTGAACCAGATGATTAAAATGAGACCCCTGTGGTAGCTTCTAAACTATAAGTTTGTGCCAAAACCACAGGTTTTGAAAAAATCAAGATTCAGGAGAGGTTCAGTCAAATATTTTCTTTTAATTTATGAAAGAAGTTAGAGCTCTAGGTCAAATTTACTTCCAAAGCTGAATTTATATTTGGTTTGCAAAAGATATAGCAGAGATTTTGTTTGCTGCTCCTGCTTTTTAATCCATTCTCAGAACCTGTGTTAGCTGAAGCTTTTGCAAACTAAATTCCATTTTTAACTTAAACTTGTTTTTGTGTGAGTGTCTGTATAGACAGGCACATACATATTTGTATCACTCCTATCTCTTTCTTACAGGATTCCTAAAAGGGTTTCAAAATATCAGATGCAAACACACAGCCCCACACATCTCTTGTCTTTTCTGGGCTAATAAAAGCAGAAAGTCCTGGGGACCCAGAAAAAAACAGTCTTTGAGACATCCAACAAATTGTACTCACTGAAAAGGGTCAGAGAGCTGGAAAGAATGTCCCTGTTCCTGGATCCTTGTGTCCTGTACTGCACTCCAAACCTTTTGAATTTTCCCATCATTACTTACAGTAGTGGTTTATTATGAATTGAGCTGATGGATGCCTACGATTAGAATAATGATGAAAATTATCATTTCACCTTTGCATGGAGCTCAAACTTTGAAGGCCTCTTAGAACCTGACAAATAAGAGAACTCAGGCTTGGAGCTTCAAAGGCAAAGAGTATGTGGAAAAGATGAAAAGATGTTCCACCCACCCATCCAATTCCCTACAGCCATAAGCAAAACATGAAACTGCAAGCCTGTATTTTCACCTTGAACAAAATGTCCCTTGCATAACACATCTCAGTGTAAGCCAGACTGTACTTCTGCAATCAAAAGTAAAAATAATACAACTTGTGGAGACAGTGTTGCATCTCATTCTGGCTTATTTATGATAATCATCATCACCTTGGAAAGAAAATACTGTTCAGCTGCAGTTATATTGACACTGTCTGTCCTCAGAACCATCCATAGCAGAAGACAGAGCTGTGCATGTGTAATTGAGAACATGTGCACCACAGAGAACAACACTGGGCTTTTCTATGCATTTCCATTTCTGTGCAGCCAAGTACCTGAGGACAAAATAGGCACTGAAGTGCTGAATCAGAAGGGCAGCGCTTTGCACTCAGAGTGTGGCCACTGCTGAATCCCCATGTATGAAAAGCAAAAGGGAACTGGGTCATAAGAGAGTGCAGATGTACAGTTGAAATCCAAACTTCTACAGCAACATCTTTATAGTCAGTGCTGATGTACAAGTTGGGTAGAGCCTTGCTCAGTGCCCTGTGGTTTGTTTGGGTTTTTTAAAAATTAATTATTATACATTTTGGCTTGGAAATATGCAGAAGCTAATCAATCTCAAAAGTCAGAAGACTGACTTTCACTTATTTTTAAGAGCAGAAATGAATAGTGAAGGAAAATGTCCTGAAGTCACAAGTATTCAAGGAAAGCAGGCTGTGGGGATACTCTCTCCTGTTCCTGGTGCTTTCCCGAAATCAAACGATTTCGAAGGGATCAACCAGGCCACAGCTGTATTGTGCAGAGAATAAGGGCTATAATATCTGTGGAGAATGAGGGTTGTATTCTGACATCTAAGGAAGGCTGAGGAGTTGCTTTAATACAGACTGCTTCCAGGACTGTCTTAAACTGGGACTTTTCTAAGGTCAGAGAGACACAAAGCAAAGCTTTTGGCATCAGGCGTTCTTGAGGCTGCGTTTACTTAACGCTGCTTCTTTTGACAGGGAAGGAACATCTGGAAGACTTTGAAGACTTTTAAACTGATTCGAATGGTTGATGAAAGCAAAGATGCATTTTCCTGATTGCTCACTGATATTTTAATTGCCATTTTACTCTGCCATGTCGTCTTGTAAATAGTTTGTGGGTCACTCTCAATTTTGAGAATAAACACCACTGAGCTTCCTAGTTTTAGCCTTGAGAAGGCTCTGCGTGCAAGTGCTGTCAGAGAAACTGTAGTGTCTTTTACAGCTGCATTTCTTGTATCTGTTTCCAAGAGAACCTTTTTTTTTTAATTCACTTATTTTTGGCTGCTCTGTGAAACATCCCCTCCTACTATCACCCCAGAGAAATCTAAACCCCTGAAGAACAACATTAAAGCAATCTGCTGATGCCTGCTGCATAACTCTGAGAAAACACTCTGTGTATAGACAGCTCAGCTCCTTGTAGCTTGTAGGTATTTTGTATTCTTGTATCCTGTTTCATTAAAAGGAGTCATTTACATGAAAATAGAATCTTTGTTTATTCAGACCTCCTCTGTTCCCCCCTTTCATTCTTCCACCTGCAGCTCTAAGTGATGCCCTGACATCCACAGTTGTGATGAAAGAGATTATAATGTCGTTCTGTGTAGGAAAATATCAGATGGGGGATGAGGAGATAAACCTTTAAAATGAGAGGTGACTGGAATTTTCTTATCTTAAAAAAAAAAAACCACAAACAAAAAAACAAAACAAGGAAAAAGGGATCTGTAGTTCTCTGGTTGTAGGGACACATTTGTGCTGGGCAGGCTTTAGTGATGGGCTACTGTAAAACTGACACCTCTAATAATTGCTGTAATTCAGGTATCTTATCATATATCTGTTTGCATAATCTAGGTATGTGAAAGTGGTATACTGAGGAAAGCGTAATCTACTCAGAGAGTCAGCTGTATGTTATGTGTCTGACAGAAACAGAAGAATCCACACTCCATACAACCCCAAGGCACTGCAGTTCTGCACTGTATCAACAGTTTTCTTTTTTTTGTTGTTATTTTTCTGGCAAGTTCTTGAGATTCTGCTGTTAAATGTACTGTGACAGAAAAATGCATGAAAGTTATCAAGGTGCTTAGTAATTCTGGAACTGTTCTCTAAGAAAATACCCTGATTACTATGAAGGAGTATTCTAAGCAATATTAGTTCAGCAGAGTAATACAGAAACAGAAAGTTAATATACATGGATTATTGCTGATAGCACAGTGTTTACTAATGTAGTTGGCATTAGGGGAAGAGAATGCAGTAGATGCTAGTTAGAAGAGTTGGTTGGATAAATGCTTTATCTAAATACTTCCGAGTTTATTTTTGTGATACTTGGTGATTTTTAGCATACATTCCTGTGGTGGAATTTTATTGACAAAGACGGTGGTTTGTAGTGAATACAAATGTGAACACAATTGGTGAATCAGTCATATTGGGAATTAGTTTACTTTTTTCTATTGCTTTTTTAAAGTGGTCCAGTCATCTAGTCGAAGTTCAATAGTGATACCTTTTGACTTGCAAATCCAAACATTCATGACCAGTAGTTGCAAAAAAACCCCACTAGTCAAAGTGCATATAGTTCAGTATGGCCAAAATATATATGCAGAAATCGCTCATTAAAAGCTAGATTTTTATTCTGGTCCTGAGATCAAGTCATATGTTCAACCAGAAATTGTTTTCTAAAAGTCAGTAAGTCAAGGTATC